CTTCATTTATTTAGATCTCAGTTTCTCTCAGTAATTTTGTAATTTTCAGTGTATAGAGCTTTCACATGCTTTGTCAAATGTATCCCTAAGTGTTTCATGTTTTTTTATAATGTTGTAAGTGATATTGGTTTTTACATTCAATTTCCAATTGTTCATTGCTGCTATATAGGAATACAATTGGTTTTTGTATATGGATCTTGTACCCTGCAACCTTGTTAAACTCACTTATTAGATATAGTAACTTTTTAAAAGATTTTATTTTCTTTTTTAAAAAGATTTATTTACTGGACAGCCCCGGTGGCGCAGCGGTTTAGTGCTGCCTGCAGCCCCGGGATGTGATCCTGGAGACCCGGGATCAAGTCCCACGTCGAGCTCCCTGCATGGAGCCTGCTTCTCTCTCTGCCTGTGTCTCTGCCTCTCTCTCTGTGTGTGTCTCTCATGAATAAATACATAAAATCTTAAAAAAAGAAAATAAAAAAAGATTTATTTACTTATTTGAGAGAGAGTGTGTGTGAGCAGGTGGGGGAAAGGGAGAGAATCTGGAGCATACTCCCTGCTGACTGCAGAGCCGAATGCTGAATTCAGGGCTTGATCTCACAACCCTGAGATAATGACCTGAGCTGAAATCAATAGTCAGATGCTTAAATTACTGAGCCATCTAGGCACCTCTTAAGACTTTATTTTTTATAAAATAAAAAGATTTTATTTTTTATAATCTCTCTATCCAATTTGGGGCTTGAACTTACAACTCCAGGATCAAGAGGCACATGCACTACTGACCAAGTCAGCCTGGTGCCCCAAATCTAGTAGCTTTTTATTAAATGCCATTGGATTTTCTACAAAGATGGTCATGGAAAAAAAAAAGATGGTCATGTTATCTCTGACGTTGTCTTGTTTTTAACAATGAACTTTCTTTTAACCATAGATTTGTCATTTTAATGTGTTCCTCAATACTCCACCCTAAAATATGTATTGAAAAGTAAAAATAGAAGCAATTCCACAAAACCTTTTATTGAGCTTTTGCTACTATACTCACTATAAATAAACCATTAGAACAGTGGTTCTCAACCAGGGGTGATTTTGCTCCCCAATGGACATTTGGCAATGCCTGCAAAATTTTGTTTCTTACAACTGGGAGGAGGCTACTAGGATCTAGTGGGTAGAGGCCAGGAATGATGCTAAACATCCTACAATGCACAAGATAGCCTTCCACAACAAAGAGCTATGTAGCCCTAAATGTCAATACTGTTAAGGTTCAGAAATTCTGCACTAGAAATCAGTACATACACAGATGTGATCCTCACAATAAATGTCTTATTCAGACAACACATTGTAGACAAATGTAGCAGGGCTCATTTAAACTTCATATAAATTTTATCCTTTCTCCCAAAACTGTAAAAAAGTACCTTATATACCTTATATACCTGATTCACCATGTTAGATGCCCGCATTGTCTCTGGTTTTCTCTGCTTATCTCTTTCTCTTTATCTCCTTCTCTCCATTCTCTTTCTCTTATATTATAGTCTCTCAGAGGCCTCTCTCCTTCTCCCATAGGCTTCCTCTTTTGTTCTCTTTACCTCTTGACTAAAGGTGTTGGCTGCAGCACCTAATACAACTACAAATAGGGGCAGTGACATTGTCTTTAATCACCTGTTGCTGTCACATCCTGGGGGACCCTGACAGTGCTGACACCCCATTGAGGTCACCGGTGCATCATTCCCTCCCAGCTTTGAATGAAATAATTCACTGCAAACCACCTCTGAAGATGTGGCATCGGCCACCAGGGAGGCAGCAAGGGGTAGTTGAGGAACTCCCAGCATCATCTTCCCACTTAGGTCCAAGACTCCTGAACTGGAAAGCTCCCATCTGCTCAGCCGTCCCTCTTCCCATATGGTAGGTTTTCATGGATGTTTTTTTTCTTATACCTACAAACCTCTTGTTTTTTTTTGCAAAAAACAGAAAACAAAAAACCTTAAAGTATATATTGCATAATTAACCGAATTTTATTTAGAGGACAACCTTAATTCATATTTGTTAGTTAGAAAAACAATTTTGTTACATTTTATTTCCTACCATTGTAGCAATTACTCTAGAGATAAGAACTATATATTGGCTGCCCTGGTGTACAGGACAAACTTTATCTTTAAAAAAAACAAACCCTGGGGATCCCTGGATGGCTCAGTGGTTTAGCGCCTGCCTTCGGCCCTGGAGTCCCAGGATCAAGTCCCACATCAGGCTTCCTGCATGGAGCCTGCTTCTCCCTCTGCTTGTGTCTCTGCCTCCCTCTCTCTCTCTGTGTCTCTCATGAATAAATAAATAAAATCTTTAAAAAAAAAAAACAAACCCTAAATTAAATAAAATGGTGAAACTCCTCAATTTCTGAGTCTAGACTGAACAATCTAACAACGAAGAGCTTAGGTGAATCTTACCTCCCTTCAACACATCAAACCAGGGAATACAGAAGGCAAGGACATTTGCAATCAGGGCTTTGGAGACATTTACTGCAGAAGGGAACTGGAGCATAGAATCATGGAGAACATATCTCCTGGGGCCCTGCACCTTCCCCCTGAGCCTGAACATGAAATAATAATGAATCTATTTCCCTCAGTTATGAACTTTGGTCCTTGGTCTCCGTTAATTTTTCCACTCTCATAGACACTCAGGTCTGACCTTGCACCTGGTTCTCTGCTCAGTTTTCTCTCTGCACAGGCTGCTATTAATGCGTCTGCCATTAATGCTCCACTTGTTGGGGGCATTTAATTTAGGTCTCTGTCAACTCATTATTCTATCATCAATTTACTCTGTCATGAAAACCAAACACGAGTCTTTACTTTTTCTTTTTTTTAAATTTTTAATTTTTTTATTTATGATACAGAGAGAGAGAGAGAGAGAGAGAGAGAGAGAGACAGAGAGACAGAGAGAGGCAGAGACAGAGAGAGGCAGAGACACAGGCAGAGGGAGAAGCAGGCTCCATGCACCGGGAGCCCGATGTGGGATTCGATCCCGGGTCTCCAGGATCGCGCCCTGGGCCAAAGGGAGGCACCAAACCGCTGCGCCACCCAGGGATCCCAGTCTTTACTTTTTCGATCAATGCCTAATATGATCTGTAAATGAAATCCAAGTCTTTTAAAAACATTAGTTTCCCCTGTTGATCTATATATTAAATCAAGATTGCAGTTATATAGATTTTACCATCAATGCCCCTTTTTTTTCTGACCTTGACTCTGGCTGTCTATTAAATCTTTATTCATTGATGATCCTTTAACCTTAAACCCAGGGCTTTGTTAAGTATTCTACCATCAATGTGTCTATGTTCTAGATCTTAAACCTAGACTTCTGTTAACTTTTCCACCAGCAATGCTCTTATGATCATTATCTAGGGTCCAAGTGCCTATTGAGATTTCCATCAATTTCCTTTGTTCTGAACTTGAACCCAGGCCTTTGAAGAAATCCTGAGAGAACAGCCTGGGCCCCTTAATCGATACTCATCTGGTTTGAATTCAAGCCAGATCTACTTGAATAATAGCTTTTCCCTATTAATACCTTGTGCCTCAGTCAATAGTCTTCCACTACTGACCCTCTGAATATGTTATCTTACATGAAAAAGGGACTTTGTAATCTTTAAAAAGGCGGGTAGCAACGTCTGGGTGGCTCAGTAGTTGAGCGTTTGCCTTCAGCTCAGGTCGTGATCCTGAGGTCCTTCCCAGGGAGTATGATTCTATTAATACCTTGATTTCAGCCCAGGGAAACTCACTTTGGACTTCTGACCTTCAGAACTGTAAAATAATAAATTTGTGTTGTTTTAAACCTGTAAGTTTGTGGTACTCTGTTAGAGCAGCAATAGGAAACTACTAAAGGCATCTTTGAAAAATTCTGCCATTGATGCCCATCTGCCCAACACCCAAACCATGTCCTTATTAAGCTTCCACCATCCATGCCCCTCTGTGTGACCTCAAATCCTAACCATTGTTAATTGTTCCACCCTCAAAATCCCTTATCTATGTCCTCCAACCTGGATGTCTATTAACTTAAGGGCCTTTGTAATTAGGCCGTCACTGATGCTTCCCTCAAGTTTGAAACGGAAGTTAGCATTTCCGTTTCAAAGCCTCTCTGGAAAGACTTCATAACTAGGCCACTATTTTACCATCAGTGCCCTTCTGGTGTGACCTAGAAATAAGATTTAAAAATATATATTTTATTTAGGGATGCCTGGGTGGCTCAGCGGTTGGGCGTCTGCCTTTGGTTCAGGTCATGATGCCCCTGTCCTGGAATCAAGTCCTGCATCGTGCTCCCCACGGGGAGCCAGCTTCTCCCTCTGCCTATGTCTCTGCCTCTCTCTCTGTGTGTCTCTGAGACACAGGCAGAGACATAAGCAGGCTCCCTTGCAAGGAGCCCGATGTGGGACTCGATCTCAGATCCCAGGATCACGCCCAGGATCTAGTCTTCTGTTAAGTTTTCTAAAATCAATGCCTCCTTAAGTTTTAGCCATAAACCTTTGCCTCTCATACTTCTTTCAGCTTTGATACTAAGGCTGCAATAGAGCCACATCAGCCCACGTTAAGAGACCCGGCAGAAAGTCGGGCCTGTGCGTGACAAAAAAGGGCGGGCCTTCTGTGTCCGAATGAGCCAATAGAAGACCAGGAGCGCCGTAAAGCGGAGCCTTGAGTGACAGACGAGTCGGGGGCTCCGCCCCATCGAAGGAACAATAGGAAGGCTGGACGGCGGTGACGTTAAGCTGTGAGAGGCAGGCGGGGTGTGCGAGTGAGAGAATACGTTATGTCAAAAGACTTCACTTTCACCAGAGGTTTAGAAATGTGTCTTCTGCCGAGCTGTCTCCCGGGCGGTGCTTCTACCCTCGGACCTTACCACTGCCTCCCCGCTCCCCACCCTTGGGCCCGGTTCCCACCGAACACCCCTACCCGCCCGTCGCCACGCCTTTGCTCGGGCCCGGCCTTTGCCCATGGCCGGGAACGCCCATTCACCCGCCCGGAACAGTCGCTACAAAGCTGAGCCTCACATTGCTTTCGAAGCACAAATTCCGAATACCCTGCCTCGGAAATAGCACGGGGACTTCCCGGACGCTTCCCGGACGCTAAAACGCAAATCTCTTCTGGCTGGAATGGGAGCCTCAGGAAGCAGTGCGAGGCCCTGGCCATTTTCCTGGCCGGCAGAGTTCCCGGCGCAGACCGAATGCAGCCATTTTTGTTACTGGTAGAGCTCGGCTTGGAGGCTGTTTCTGAGCCTGCGAAAGATAAGCTGATGCGTCATCCAGACCCATCAGGAGGGCTGGAGGAGAAAGGGAATTTTGGGCGATGTTGAGCCCATTTGTGCAAGCAGGGAGCCAAGCTCGACTTGAGAAGGAGCTTTGGGGTCCTGAGAGCAGAGCCAGGGTGAGGGGCCCGGTTGAGTGATGTGAGTCTGTGTGGTCAGTGATGGGGACATGTGGAAGGACTAATGAGGGGGTCCTTTGGACTGAATGATGTAGAGGGCAGTGATAGGGAAGGGAGTCTGTAGGACTGTGTGTGGGATATGTGATGAGTTTATGGAAGTGAGCAATGGGGTCTGCAGGGTGAATGATGGGGTTTCTAGTAAGTGAGGGAAAGGGGTTTGTGGGGGTGAATGAATGGAGTCTGGGCTGAGTGATGGAGAGTCTATCCAGTGAGCAATGGTGTCTTAGGGTGAGTGATAAGTTTTCAAGGGAGTGAGTGAAAGGGGTTTGTAAGGTGAGTGATGGAGAGTTTGTTGGGTGAATGATGGGGGGTCTGGAGGGAGCAATGGGGTGGTCTTTAGGGTGAGTGATGAGAGTCTATGGGGACAGGAATGGGAGTATGTAGTGTCAATGTTGGGATTCTGTGCGGTCCATGATGGGTGGCTCTTTGAGATCAATAATATATCCATGAATAAACAAAAATCCTTGCCCTTGTGGTGGCAACATTCCAATGGAGGGGTCAGACATCCAGGCTTTAATTTGTAATTCCCATATATGTTTTGATCTCTTAGATCCTTCTTTGTGAGGCACCTGTTCACATCTCTTGCTCATTTTTCTATTGGATGTTTGCCTTATTGATTTGTAGGGCTTGTTTTTATGTATTCTGATACTACTCCTTTATCAATGATCCGTGTTTTGCAAATATTTCCTTGATTTTTGGCTTCTCTTTTCCTTGTTGTGTCTTTGAATATTAAGGTTTTATTTATTTATTTAAAAGATTTTCTTTATGTATTCATGAGAGACACACACAGGGAGAAAGGCAGAGACACAGGCAGAGGGAGAAGCAGGCTCCATGCAGGGAGCCCGACTCGGGACTCGATCCCGATATTGAGGTCTCCAGGATCACGCCCTGGGCTGAAGACGGTGCTAAACCGCTGAGCTACCCAGGGATCCCTATTTTATTTATTTTAAAAGATTTTATTTATTTATTCATGAGAGACACACAGAGAGAAGCAGAGACATAAGCAGAGGAAGAAGCAGGTTCCCTGAGAGGAGCCTGATGGGAGACTCGATCCCAGGACCTGGGAATCATGCCTGAGCCAAAGGCGGACGCTCAACCACTGAGCCACCCAGGCATCCTAATATTAAGGTTTCAAGTTAACTTTGAACTGTAAAGCACGATGTAAATTTAGAGTTTCGTTATTCTCAAGTTAAAAATCAGACAATGTCCTTTGTAATTTAGGATGAGAATTAGTTTTTTAGGGCATTCAGAAATAGAGTTGCATCTCTGAAAACTTTGATGCCATGACATCTAGGGAGGAGTTCTCTGCTTTTTGTTTTCCCACCACCCCACCCCCTGGTCACTGGCTGTGTGATCATAGAGAAGTCACTCAACCTCTTTAGGCCTCAGTTTCCTCACTGTGAAATGAGAATAATAGCAGAGTCTATACTTTGAGGCTTGTGATGTTAAGTGAGTTAATACCTGATTATTATTTATTCACCTTGGTTTTGTAGCACTGATCTTGGATATATTTCATGGATCTTCCATGAACTCAAGGTCAGTTCTATTCATGTAATAGCCAAGAAAATAGAATAAAGGAAATTAAATGCCAAGGAATAAGATTTTGTCAGGTAGGGTTGATCTCTGGAGGGCCACAAACCATTGTGATGTCTTGGGGAACAGATGTTATTATTAAATAATTGGGAGTGTGATCTTGTGGTCTGCCTCTTCTTCATTTTGTAGCTATGTTTCCATGCTATTAACTTTATTTCCATAGTACTACTAAGCTTATTTCTATGGAAATTTTCAAACATTCAGCAAAATAGAGGGACTTATATAATAAACCCCCATTACGTCCATCACCCAGTCTTATCAATCATTACCCGATGGCCACTGTTGTTTCATCTAGACCAGGGGATGGAAAACTGTAGGCAGTGGGCCATATCTGGCCTCCTGCTGTTTTTATACAGCCATATGCTACAAATAGTTTTCACATTTTTTAATGTTTGGAAAAAATCAGAAGAAGAATAATATTTTGTGACATGAAAATGATTAAAATTCAAATTATAGTGTTACTAAATGAGGTTTTTAAACAGTAGTATTAAAATTTCTTTTTTTACAGAGAGAGAGAGCAGTGGGAGTGGAGGGGCAGAGGGAGAGAGAGAAAATCTCAAGCAGGCTTCACGCTCAGTGCAGAGCCCCATGCAGGGCTTGATCTCACCACCTGTAGATCATGACCTGAGTTGAAACCAAGAGTCAGAGGCTTAACCAACTGAGCCACCCATGTGCTCCATAAATGAGGTTTTATTAGAACACAGCCAATAAACAGAATTGGCTTACGTATTGTCTGTGGCTGCTTTCAATTGCTGAGTGGTTGCAACAGAGACTGTAGGCTTCACAAATCTGAAATATTTACTATCTGTCTCTATACAGAGAAAGTTTTCCAATTCCTAATTTAGATCACCCATTTATTTCTCCCTCCCAGATTGTTTTTTCTTTGTTACTGATAACATAAAATGCACAAATATTAAGTGTATAGTTGAATGAATCTTTATTATTTTGAAAGAAATCCCAGATGTATCATGATGCAGGTGCCTGGGTGGCTCAGTGGTTGAGTGTCTGCCTTTGGCTCAGGTTGTGATCCCTGGGGCCCGGGATTGAGGTCTGCATCAGGCTCCTCTCGGGGAGCCTGCTTCTCTCTCTGCCTCTCTCTCTGCCACTCTCTCTGTTTCTCTCATGAAAAAATAAAATCTTAAAAAAAGACTTCATCATGTATTTGTAAAAGATAAGGTCTTAAATGTCAATATTATTATTTGAGGTAAAATATTTAACAATAGTAACGTCAGATCATCACTGGTTAAATTTCCCTTTTTATTACATTTCTTAATATCAAATATCTAGTCAGGGTTCAAACTTTAATGATTATCTCAAAGATTTTTATATCTGTTCAAATTAAGATCTAGACAAGGTCCATACTTTACAGTTGGTTGTTGTATCTCTTGAGCCTCTTAATTGTCTTTGGTGTTACTTTAAATGGTCACCTGCCTTTCTATCTCTTGGATGTTCCATTATTTTCTCAGTCCTCAGTGATTGGGCGTTTTGAGGATATTTTCAGAATTACGGTGTTAAAGACAAAGCTGTGATGAAAGTTCCTTCAGTTAAATCTCTGCACAATCCATGATTATTACCTTAGAATAAAGTTCTAGAAATGGAATTGCTAGTCAGATGATAAACACAAGTTAGCGATAAATTCACAAGCAACACATTTTACATTCAGCCATTGAAGAGTAGTTAACCCAGCTTGATCTCTGAAGACTCTTCTGTACCCCACTGCACCCCCAATTGCTTTCCAAAGACAAACAGAAAATGTTTGTTTCCCACTTGGTTTTCCCACAGTAAAATGAGAAAGGGCAATACATTGGCAATAAGAATTAGAGAAATCTAGACAGAATAGAAGATCAAGATGCAGGTAAAGTTGCTGTTAAGATACATAGATTATCTGGCCTTGCTTCATATAAACTGAGCTAAACATTTTACCTTTGAGCTTCCTGGCAGCCACAGTGAAAATGGCAAAGGGGATATATCAGATGGTTTGCATTCTTCATCAAGAAAAATCACTTTATCATTCTAGCTCTTCAGCAGTCAAGATTTCTGGGACTTTAGCTTAAGAAATTTGATTGTTGAGTTTTCCTAAAGGCCAATGTGGTATTATCGGTAGTTGTTTCAAAGAGGCTATTTTTAGTTAAAATTTTCTGGCAGAGGCTTAGAGGGTAGGTCGTTTCCTGGTTTTCCATGGCCCCTTTGCTATCATCTCATAGTTTGTGGGATCATGCTCCAATGCAAGGCCAGTTTCCTTCTTTGCTCTTCCATTTTATGTCTTTTTATCCCCTCTTTGCAAGGGTAATTTATACATGGTGCAAAGAATGTAAATAATATTGCAAAGTAAAGCTTAAAAAGTAAGGGAAATATCTCTGTAATCTAACTTCTGTCCTCTCCTCTGGCATAACGAGTATTATGTAGTTTGGGGATGATCTTTCCAGATACATATAACCTCTGTGTGTATAGATATATATGTATAAATGTGTGCTAGTGATTTTATTATTTTCATGTATTTTTCTTTACCATACACACTATATATTCTGTAACTTAAAAAGAATGTATTGCTAAAACATTTCCAGGCACCTGGGTGGCTCAGTAGGTTAAGTGTCTGCCTTTGACTTAGGTCATGATCCCAGGGTCCTGGGATCTAGCCTCACATTGGGCTCCCTGCTCAGCAGGGAGTCTTGCTTCTCTTTCTCCCTCTGCCTGTTGATCCTCCTGCTCTCTCTCTCTCTCTCTCTCTCTCTTTCTCTGTCAAATAAATAAAAATCTTCAAAAAAATTCCAGTACATATAGTTTTTACATTTTATTATGGGAGATTTCAATTTTGAACATACACAAACGTAGATTTTTGTGAACGTCTTTGTGCTTATCACCTAGTTGCAAATATTATCAACTGGTGGCCAATCTTGTTATATCTATGGTTAATCTTCACCCATTTCTGTCATCTCCTCCTCATCATTATCATCAAGCCAGTCTTTTTTTTTTTGAAGGTTGAACTGTTATTCAGCAAGGTTCAAACAATTGTATGCTAATTTCCACATCTAGATTGCACAAAAAAATGACTTGAAAATTTCCTTTTGGTATCCCTGAATAACTGGATTCCTGTTATATAGGCCTTGTTCTTTCTTTAGACCTATAAAAATATATGTACAATTGACTTCAACAAGTGATTTATTCCCCTTTCCCATATTTAGAAATCCCTATGATCCCTCAGACGGTTCCTTCTGGAGCAAGCCTCCTCCTTTTCCTCAGCCAGCCCCAGTGGGTTCACCTAAGCCAGTCTTTTTTTTTTAAGATTTTATTTATTCATTTATGAGAGAGAGAGTGAGAGAGAGAGGCAGAGACACAGGCAGAGGGAGAAGCAGGCTCCCTGCAGGGAGCCTGATGTGGGACTCGATCCCTGGACTCCAGGATCACGCCCTGGGCTGAAGGCAGGCGCTAAACCGCTGAGCCACCCGCGGATCCCCCTAAGCCAGTCTTTTTTTTTTTTTTTAAGATTTTATTTATTTATTCATGAGAGACAGAGAGAGAGAGAGAGGCAGAGACACAGGCAGAGGGAGAAGCAGGCTCCACGCAGGGAGCCCGACGTGGGACTCGATCCTGGGTCTCCAGGATCATGCCCCGGGCCAAAGGCAGGCACTAAACCGCTGCGCCACTCAGGGATCCCTAAGCCAGTCTTCTATTAATATTTTGTTGACGAAAAAAAAATATTTTGTTGAGGATTTTTACTACCATGTTCCATGAGACATATTGGTCTGTAATTTTTTTTGTATTCTTGCTTATGTTTTGGAATCACAGTTATGTTGACTTTATTTAACAAGTTGGGAAGTATTCTCTGAAAGAGTTTGGGTAAGATTAGTATTATTTCTGTCTTGAATATTTGGAAGAGTTCTCCAGTGAAGTCATGAGGGTGTGGAGTTTTCTTTGTGGGTAGGTTTTTAATTATGAATTTGACTTACTGAAAATATTTAGTACCATTAAGATTTTCAATTTCTTTGTATATTGCTTTTGTTAAGTTGTGATTTTCAAGTAATTTGTCCAGTTTGTCTAAGTCAGGGTTCAGCAAACTTTTTCTGCAGAAGGCCAGATAGAAATATTTTAGGCATGTAGGCCATATGGTCTCTATTGCAACTACTCAGTTCTGTTTTTGTAGGTTGAAAGCAGCTGTAGACAATATGCAAACCAATGAGCATGGCTGTAATCCAACAAAATTTTATTTATAGACACTCAAAGTTGAATTTCATATAATTTTCACATGCCACAATATATTCTCCTTTGACTTTTTTCTTCAACCATTTAAAAGTGTAAATACCATTCTTAGCTCTCTGGGCCAGATTTGGCCTGCGTGTTATACTCTGCTGTCCTAAGATCTGTATTGTCAAATTTCTTGCCATAAAATTGTTCATAGCATCCTTTTACTATTCGTTTAATGTTTGTAGGATACCAGCCCCTTGTTGATGGGCTCTTTTATTCTGTTTTTTCTTTGATGTCTAACAGTAATAAGAATAAGAATAATTACAGCTACTGTTTATTGAATGCTTACTTTGTGCCCGGCACCATTATAATAAGTTATAATGGAATTACTTTGTGCTGGATACTATTATTATCTCCGTTTTTCACAGAAAAAAAGCAGGGGCATGGCTAGTACATAGGTTAGCCAGGACTCTAAAGCAGGAAAGTCACAAATAAAGGAACAACCTTATCAAATATTTATGTAGACCAAATTCTTGGACATGACTGTGCTAGATCAGAGAGCAAAGCCTGTTTAAAATTTAAAGGATGTTTCTCAAATTGTATTTTGATATTATATAATTAGCTTCTACATGTGGCTATAAATAATTTACAAGGAGGCCCATTTCCCAATATTTTTCTTACTACTAGATAGCATCAGTGTTTTTCATTCTTACTATTTTTATGGTTGAACATTGTATCTTATTTTCATTTGCTTTTCATTAATGATTAAATGAAATTCAGCATTTTCCCCACATATTTGCCATTTAAAAATTTCTCCGTCAATCTCCCTTTTTGTCAGTCTTTTGCTTGTTGCTTTTTTTTTTTAATGGCTATAGACTTTATTTTTTAATTTTTTTAATGACAGTCACAGAGAGAGAGAGGCAGAGACACAGTCAGAGGGAGAAGGCTGACGTGGGATTCGATCCCGGGTCTCCAGGATCGTGCCCCGGGCCAAAGACAGGCGCCAAACCACTGCACCACCCAGGGATCCCTGCTTGTTGCTTTTTATGAGCTTTTTTATATGAGTGATATGAATTTTGAAGTACACATTACAAACTTTTCTTTTTTGGCTATTTGTTTGTCACTCAGTCTTGTTGGCTGTGTCCTCTCACTAGAATATGAGATGCTTGAGGGAAGATATTTTTGCCAGATTTCTTTTTTGCTGTATCCCCAGTTCCTAGAATAATGCTTGATATTCAGTGGGGTCTCAATAACTGCTTGCTGAATAGATGAATTTTTTTTCACCTAACAGTATATTTTAGAGATTGTTACATATCATTCCTTGTTGCTTTTTATGGTTGTTAATGGTATTCCCTTATGGGGATTGAAGCATAATTTATCCAATCCCCCATAAGGTTGCCTTCATTATTTTGCAATTATAAACAGTACTGTAGGGAAATGACTTCACATATGCTGTTTTGCTCACATATATGAGTATATGTGTTGAATAATTTCTAGAACTGGAATTGCTGATCAGATAGTATATACATTTAAATTTTGATGGATATCGTCAAATAAATTGCCTTAAAATATATTGTACCAGTGTATACCCATAATTTGAGTGTGTTCCTTTTTTGATATCTTTACCAACTTCATGACTGCTTAAACTCTAATCTTTGATAATATGTAAGAAAAATATGATGTTTGTTTGTTTTCATTTACATCTCTCTTCACGTGAATGAAGTTGAACATCATTTTTCATGTTTAAAAGCCATTTGCATTTCCTTCTCTGTGAATTGATGGTCATGTCCTCTGATTATTTTTTATTTATTTATTTTTTAAAGATTTTATTTATTTATTCATGAGAGACGCAGAGAGAAAGAGAGGCAGAGACACAGGCAGAGGGAGAAGCAGGCTCCATGCAGGGAGCCTGATGTGGGAATCCATCCTGGGTCTCCAGGATCACGCCCTGGGCTGAAGGCAGGCACTAAACCGCTGAGCCACCCGGGTTGCCCCTCTGATTATTTTTTAAAAGGTTAAGTTGTTGGTCTTTTTCTTCTTGCTTTTTAGGAGTTCTATAAATTGAAGAAATTAGCTTTTTGTCCATATTATGTATTGTGCACATATATACTCCCCAGTTAGTTGCTTGTCCTTTGAGTTTGTTTATATTTTGCTATGTAATCAAATTTACCGGTATTTTCCTTTTTAGCATCTGGATTTGTACCATGCCTAGTGAGAAGAGTTTTCTCCACTTTGAAATTATTTTTAAAAACTCTCTTGTCTTTATTTTATGACTTCTTTTTTTTAAATTTTGTTATATCTCAAATTTATTTTTTTGTATAGTGTGAAATAAGGAGTCCAACTTTACTTTTTTTCTGATAGCTACCCAGTTTTGAGTAATCTGTCTTTTCTGGACTTATTTAGTTATAAATTTTATTTTTAAGTAATCTCTATACCCAGATTGGGGCTCAGATTCACAAACCTGAGATCAAGTCACATGCTCCAGGGATACCTGGGTGGCTCAGTGGTTGAGTGTTTGCCTTTGGTTCAGGTTGTGATCTCGGAATCCTGGGATCAAGTCCCACATTGGCCTCCTTTTGGGGAGCCTGCTTCTCCCTCTGCCTGTGTCTCGGCCTCTCTCTGTGTGTCTCTCATGAATAAATAAATAAACTCTGAAAAAAAAGAGTCACATGCTCCATTGACTGACCAGCCAGGCACCTCAACACTTATTTAAAATACTGCTTTAGGGGGATCCCTGGGTGGCGCAGTGGTTTGGCGCCTGCCTTTGGCCCAGGGCGCGATCCTGGAGACCCGGGATCGAATCCCACGTCGGGCTCCCGGTGCATGGAGCCTGCTTCTCCCTCTGCCTATTTCTCTGCCTCTCTCTCTCTCTCTGTGTGACTATCATAAATAAATAAAAAAAATTAAAATACTGCTTTAGGGATGCCTGGGTGGCTCAGTGCTTGAGCGTCTGCCTTTGGCTCAGGGCATGATCCTGGAGTCTTGGGATCGAGTCCCACATCAGGCTTCTTGCATGGAGCCTGCTTCTCCCTCTGCCTGCATCTCTGTCTCTCTGTGTCTCTTATGAATAAATGAAATCTTTTAAAAAATACCTCTTTATTATATATTAAATTTCTCATTTATTTACATCTAGTTTTAGACTGTTCATTCTGTTCCACTAGCTATTCTTGCTAATGGCAGAATTTTACAGTTTTTCTCATTAATAGCTACACAAAATGCTAATTAGGTGTCCTACATGTATTAGTGTGGTAAAAATGATCAGAATGAGCAGATTGTATAAGAATGTGCTGTTATAGGAACTAGTGACATATGAGGATGTGGCTGTAGACTTCACCCAGGAAGAGTGGCAGCACCTGGACCCTGCTCAGAAGACCCTATATAGAGATGTGATGCTGGAGATCTACAGCCACCTGGTCTCTGTGGGTAAGGACAAATTCTCCATGTAGCAATGAATCAAATCCTCCTCATCCTTCTGAGCCTTCAAGGCCATGACCTTTATGATTTTCCATTAATAGGGTCCTTTCTTTTATAGTTTATATTTTATGTTTATATTTTTGGTATATCTGGAATTCATTTTTGTGAGTTAAGGATCCATCTTTCCTGGGAGGCCCCTGAGACTGCTTCTTTTCCTCATGAATTTCTGAGCTGCCAAGGCCAAGACCATTATAATTTTCCCTTAACAGGGTGTTCTGGTATAAAACCAGGTATAATCTTCAAGTTGGAACATGAAGAGGACCCATGGATCATAAAGAGTGAGTTGTCAAGGTGGATTCACTCAGGTAATTGAGAATTGGGTAGATGGCTGAGAGGGTATTTTCTTTATCTCTGACATCTTTGGCCTTCTTTCTTCCTTAAAATTCATTAGGCCTTCTTTATAACATCCATCCTACATCAGCACTTTCCTAGCATTTCTATTGTTGTTTCCTTTTTGGTTTCTATTTGATTTTATCTTTTTTTCTTTCAGACAGGGAGGAAAGCTTTGACTCTTCCCAGCAGGTCATTTCTGAAGAACTTTTGTTTCAAAAGGAGATAATGGAAAAATCCCCAAAGGATAATTCATTGTATTCTCTCTTAAAAGTCTGGCATATTGATGGTCAGATAGATAGATATCAAGGAAACCAAGACAGAGTTTTGAAGCAGATCACAGTCATTAGCCATGAAACAGTGGCCAGGGAGAAAGGCCCCAAGTGTAATACATTTGGAAAAATTTTTGGTGGCTGCATAGACCTTGATCCTTCATGTAAAAAACTCCATGATTTTGATTCATGTGAAAAGAGCTTGAAATCTAATTTAGACTCGCTGACATGCAGTAGGAGCTATGCAAGAAAGAACCCCATTGAGATATTTGGATGTGGGACACCACCTAGCTATAGTGATTCCTGTTCTTTGCCTGAGAAAATTTACACGGGCATGAAACCCTGTGGACATAGTCAATGTGAAAAAGTCGTCAATCATAAACAAGTCCATATTCAGTATAAGAAAGGTCAAGCAGGTAAGAAACCCAATGTTTGTAGTGAGTGTGGGAAAGGCTTTATTAAGAAGTCACAGCTTATTATACATCAAAGAATTCATACTGGAGAGAAACCCTATGTGTGTGGAGATTGTGGAAAAGCCTTCAGCGAGAAATCACACCTCATTGTGCATCAGAGGATTCATACTGGGGAGAAACCTTATGAATGTACTGAGTGTGGGAGGACTTTCTCCCAGAAGTCACCCTTCATCGTTCATCAGAGAGTCCACACTGGAGAGAAACCCTATGAATGTTTTGAGTGTCAAAAAGCCTTCTCTCAGAAGTCACACCTCATTATACATCAGCGAGTTCATGCTAGACAGAAGCCCTTTGAATGCAGTGAATGTGGAAAAGCCTTCTGTGAGAAGTCTCACCTTTTTATACACCAGATAACTCATACTGGGGAGAGACCCTATGAATGTACCGAATGTGGGAAAACCTTCCTTCGGAAAACACAACTCATCATCCATCGAAGAACACATACTGGAGAGAAACCCTATAAGTGTAGTGAATGTGGAAAAACCTTTTGCCAGCAGTCTCACCTCATAGGGCATCAAAGAATCCATACAGGAGAGAAACCTTATGTATGTACTGACTGTGGAAAAGCCTTTTCCCAAAAGTCACACCTTACTGGACATCAAAGGCTTCATACAGGAGAGAAACCTTATATATGTACAGAATGTGGAAAAGCCTTCTCTCAGAAATCACCTCTTGTTATACACCAGAGAATTCATACAGGGGAAAAACCCTATGAGTGTAGGGACTGTGGCAAAACCTTCTCCCAGAAATCGCCCCTCATTATTCATCAGAGGATTCATACAGGGGAGAAACCCTATGAGTGTATGGAGTGTGGAAGGGCCTTTTCCCTGAAATCACACCTCATTATACATCAGAGAGCTCATGCTGGCGAGAAACCATATGAATGTAGTGAGTGTGGAAAGGTCTTCTGGGAGAAGTCTCCACTAGCTGTACATCAAAGAGTTCATACAAGGGAGAAACCCTCTGAATCTGCTGAATATGGGATGGCCTTTTCTCGGAAATCACAGATGATCACATATGAGAGAACACACATGAGGGAGAAACCCTCCAAATGCAGTGAATGTGGGAAGGTATTCTGCCAGCATATACACCTCACTAGACAACAGAATCCACATAGGAGAGAAATCTCCTCTATGTACTGATTGTGAGAAGGGCCTCCCCAAAAGGCAGATCTCATGTGCATGAAAAATCTCACACTGAACAGAAATCCTATGGATATGTTGGTCATGAAAAAATGCGGCACCTCCTCAACTGTAGAACAGACAGATCTGTTCCTAAGTGTTTTTTTTTTTTTTAGAGATTTTGTTTGTTTATTTATTTGAGCAAGGATGAGGAGCAGAGGGAGAGGGACAAGCTGTCTCTGTGCTGAGCTTGGAGCCTGATGGGGAACTAGATGTCAGGTGTCTGAGATCATGTCCTGAGCCGAAATCAAGAGTCGGGTGCTTAACTGACTGTGCCACCCAGGTACCCCATTCCTGAATATTTCTGATTACCCCTCCACAGAATGATCTGATCTGGCTCTCAGAATATTTTAAGCACTGTAAATATGGAATGCATTTGCTCACCCTCAAAGTATCCCATCTCCTCTCACAGAATAAAATGTATCTGGAAGAATTAGCACTGTTTTGGTGTTATTTGGTCCTTGAAGGTCCTTTGTAGAACTCTCCTTGAATTTACTTGGGTATGGTACATTATTTGAAGGCAATCTCATTGTCATCTTTCTGTATTTCTTTCATCATATTTTCCCTCTCTAGATTACATATGTATTTATGTTGATATATCTGTCAATATATAGATAGAGAATGAATATATCTGTCAATATATAGATAGAGATATGAATCCCTGTAATTTTCATAAAAGTCATCCATTTCCTCAAAATTCTTTTTTTTTAATTTTTTATTTATTTATGATAGTCACAGAGAGAGAGAGAGGCAGAGACACAGGCAGAGGGAGAAGCAGGCTCCATGCACCGGGACCCCGATGTGGGACTCGATCCAGGGTCTCCAGGATCGCGCTCCGGGCCAAAGGCAGGCGCCAAACCGCTGCGCCACCCAGGGATCCCCATTTCCTCAAAATTCTTAATATATTTGTGATATTTTAAGCATAGTTATTTCATATGATTCATTTAATTTTCTCTACATATGTAGTTATTTCTCCACTATCATTTTTCATAGAGGCTATTTGTGACTTCTTTTTCCTCAATTAGGTAAACTAATACTAATGTTTTATTTTATGCCCTCCCACCCAAAGACCAGTTCTTGCACTAATATATTTTTTTAATTTTCTGATCGATTCATTTGTACTTTTGTTTCATTAATGTCCTTCTATTTTCTTTCCTTTTTTTCTATCTTCTTTAATAAAATGTGTGAGTCAATTAATCTCATTCTTTCTGGTTTGTTTATACATGTATTTTGGGCTGTGTATTAATCTGAGTACTACTTTAGCCATTTTTGGTTCAATCTTAGAGTATTCTGTGTTTTGGAAGGTTAAGTCCTACTGTTTAACCCAATTTTGTTTGTGGATAAAACAGATCTATTTAGTCATAGGCCTCCCAGCATATTGCCTGTTGTGCATCCTGTTTTCATTGCTTTTATGTCTTAATCTTTCATCATGTGTTCTACTTTCTTTTCTACTGTCTTGACTGTGTTATTTGTGTTCCAGAGCATAGCAAAGAGAGGGACACTTTACATATATCCTCTGTTGATAAATGCTTCAACGCTGTGGAGGAAGGTAAAGCAAAATAGGAGAACAAGGAGTGGCTTGTGGGTTCTGGGTGGGCAGGGATGGCCTCAATATACCATTTGAGCACAGATCTAAAGGAAGTGAGGGAATGTATGTTTGAAAGACAGCTTGCCAAACAGATGGAACAGGAAGTATAAAGGCCCTGAGGCAGAGGCATACCTGCCATCATGCAGCCTGAAATTACATCCCCAATGTGTTCCAAAAATGCCTCAAGGATTAAATGGTTCCAGGTTATAGTGACCCCAGGTCACTGAAAGAAATAAATGTAAATTCACTCTCCTATAAGCCACCTTTCAACCCGTAGATAAAATTCCAAGATATGAGAGCCTACAGTGGAAAAAATAATCACAAAACATGCAAGAGGACAATATTAGTAAGATCCATAAGAAGCAACAAACAGAATCAAATCCATAAAATTTCAGATATTAGAATGATCAGATATAGACTATAAGGATTTATTTATTTATTTATTTTTAAATATTTATTTATTCATGAGAGAGAGAGAGAGAGAGGCAGAGACACAGGCAGAGGGAGAAGCAGGCTCCATGCAGGGAGCCCGACGTGGGACTCGATCCTGAGTCTCCAGGGTCAGGCCCTGGACCGAAGGTGGCACTAAACCGCTGAGCCACCCAGACTGCTCCAAAATAAGGATATATTTAAAGTAACAAAAGAAGATTTATTAGTTTGCTAGGCCTGCTGTAAGAAAGTACCATAGACTAGGTGACTTAAACAAAAGAAATTTTACTGTCTCACAGTTCTGGAGGCTAGAAGTCCAAAGTCAAGGTGTTGCCAAGTTTGGTTCCTTCTGAGGGCTATTAGGGAAAAATAAATCCCAAGCCTCTCTCCTTGGCTTATAGATGGACATCTTCTCCCTATGCCACATTGTTTTCCCTTTCTGTTTGTTTCTGTGCCCAATTTCCCTTTTTTATAATGACAGTAGTAATACTGGATTAGGGCCCAACTTAATGAACTGATCTTGATTACCTCTGTAAAGTACCTATTCCAAATAACATCACATTTTAAGGTATTGGGGGTTAGGACTTCAACATATGAATTTTTTTTGGGAAACAATTTAACCTGTAAAACAAGAATGAAACACATAAGTAAAGAATAAGAGAATCCAAAATGACTAAGCAGATTTTTAAGACTCTAACAGAATTTCTAGAAATGACAAATATAACATTTGAAAATAAATACTTAATAGGCAGGTTTAGGAGCAGATGAAGCTTTGCTGAACATAGAATTCATGAACTAGAGGAATGATCTGAAAGATCATTTGGCAGGACCAAATGCCAAGGCCATGGAAATTCTAAAGACATTAAGAGGTAGGGTGATAGAATAAGCAGGATAGTGTATATCTTAATCAGAATCTTATAGAAGATGAGAGATAAAATGCAGTGGCAATATTTTAAAAAGATAATATCTGAGAGTTTTCCAAAAGTGAGAAGAAGACATCAACCCATCATGACAATGAGACTCTCAGGTAGCATCCTGGCAGCAAAAATGGAAGCCAGATGATAGTGGAATTATTTATTTTTAAGATTTTATTTATTTATTCATGAGAGATGCAGAGAGAGAGAGAGAGGCAGAGACACAGGCAGAGGAAAAAGCAGGCTTTTTGCAGGGAGCCTGATGCAGGACTCGATCCCCAGAACCTGGGATCATGCCCAGAGCTGAAGGCAGATGCTCAACCGCTGAGCCACCCAGGCGTCCCTGAAGATAATGGATTTATATCTTCAATATGTTGAGAGGATAGAACTGTCAATATGAAATTATATATCTAGCAAAAATATCTTTCAAGAGCAAGGTGAAAATTAAGACATTTTCAGACAAATCAACATTAGGTGAACTTGCCACCAGTATACCCTCACTATGGGTATCTTAAAAGATGTATCTCAAAGAGAAACTGATGCCAAATAATGATCTGAGATACACGAATGATGAGCAAAAAAAGTGGTAAAGATGTGGGTAAGTTTGAATGAACACTAACTACAAAAATCCAGTAATGATAAATCATGGGTATAGGAACAAGACAGAAACAAAATGTTCATGTGAAACTTAGTAGGAAATATATTGACTAAACTTAGACTATAGTAAGTTAAAATGCACGCTGAAATTTCTAAGGTAACCACTAAAATAGTAGAAAAAGTATACAACTCCAAACTAATACAGTAAAAAAGGAATGGTGTATTATTTTCCTATTGCTGTTGTAACAAATTACCACAAACTTTGCAGCTTAAAACAACTTAGATTTATCTCATGGTAAGTCATAAGTCTAACACAGGTCTAACTCAAAGTGTTGACACAGGCTACATTCATTTCTAAGCTTTCAGAGAGAATTTATTTACTTGCCTTTTCCAGCTTCTGAAGGCTGTCTGAATTCTTTGGCTCATGACCTCCTTCCTCCATCGTCAAAGCCAGCAGTGTTCAGCTCTCTTACTCTTCCCACATCATCACCTCTCTCTCTGAGTATAACTGGGGAAGGTTTTCTACTTCTAAACACTTATGTAATTAGATTAGGCCCACCTTCCTAATCCAACATAATTCCCCCATCTCAAGGTCCCTAACCTTAATCATATCTGCAAAGACTCCTATTCCATGTAAGGTAACATATTCACAGGTTCTGAGCGTTACGGCATGGGCAGTTTTGGTGGTCATTATCCTGCTTATCACAGGTGGATTAAAAAAAAACAACCCAAAAGAAAGCAAGAAGGGAGACAAAAAGAAATATTGAAAAATAATGTTACAAATAAAAAACACAAAATAAGATAATAGAAATAAATACAAATATATCACCAATCATAACAAATATGAATGAACTGTACCCACTAGTTAAAAAACAAAATTGTCAGGTTGCATGCATAAAATCTAGCTATATGCCATTTTAAGAGACATATTTAAAGTCTAAAGACATTGTCAGGTATTTTCAGAACAACATTAAACAATAGCACTTGCTCTTCCTGGGCTTCTCATATTGTTGAGAGTCAGCATATATATTGTTTTTCCACAAAACATGTAGGCTTGAGTTGAGAGAGAGAGAATATATGATGGTAAGGAAGTATCCATTTGTCCCTATTTTGTTGGAGTTATTTTTTTGAATCATCTCAGCATCTATGGAGATGATCATATGACTATTCATTTTGATCCATTATATAGTAAAATATATTATTAAATATGCTTATATTGAACCCCTCTTGCATTAGTGTAATAAACTTCATTTGTTCATGCTATGAACCAGAGTGCAGCAAATGCAATTTTGCTGGTATTTTAATTAGTAGTTTTGCATTGATATTTGCAGATAAAGCTGATCTATAGCTTGCTTTTTTGTCCATATTTTTCAGATTTCTGTTTTACAATTATGTTGGCTTCCCACAAACTCTTTAGGAGTGTCCCTCCCTTTGTTATAGAAGAAACGTACCCAAAATAATATGAAGGAAACCAGGATCACATGACAAAAGATTAAAAGACAAAAGCAATGAAAACAGCCTGACCAATAGGAAATATGCTGGGAGACTTTAAGACCAAATAGATTTGTCAGGTGTACAGACAAAATCAGGGTAACCCTGTTTATTAATTTTTTAAAAAAGATTTTATTTATTTATTCATGAGAGATACAGCGAGAGAGAGGCAGAGACATAGGCAGAGAGAAGCAGGCTCCCTGCAGGGAGCCCGATGTGGGACTCGATTCCAGGTCTCCAAGATCACACCCTGGGCCTAAGGCAGGCTCTCAACCCCTGAGCCACCCAGGCGTCCCTAACCCTATCTATTTAAAGACCAAATATATTCAGTTTGAAATACAAAATGAAGCCCAAAATATAAGAGACAATTTAGAAAGATTAGAAATAGAAGGACAAATATAAAATCACACCTGACAATTGCAAACAAAAGGAAGTGAGAAAAAAGTCTTAATATCTGAAAATGTTGAGTTTAGGGCAATAAGCAAAAAAATGAGAAAAT